GTATTATGGCCATATATGTCAAGAGTATGATTACTCTATTCATTTTTTATTTTCAATCATGGATATTTTCTATTTATTTCCACCAAGGAAGATGAAGATTTAGCTCTCTGGACTCCCCATGTATTGTTCCTCTTTACAAGCATGTACAACCTCGCACAGATGAGTATAATATGGTCGCATAATTTGGTTGTATTTCTTCTTTTCTTGTGTTTTAGTTTTCTTGGAATTGACAATTGCCTTACTTTTTGTTTGCATAGTTTTCCATTTACTTATTCGTGTATTAATTCATCACCCCAGATCTCAGTCAGTTGTCAAACTCCTTTTAATAGTTTCAGACATTCCAGGACATCTTTTTTTTTTTTAAAGGTTGCCTATAACACACATTTGTAGTAGGATTTTTAAAAAATGAATTAATTTGTATTTTTTTGTGTGCTGGTCTTTGTTGTTGCACTTGGACTTCCTCCAGCTGCAGTGAGTGGGGAGCTACACTTTCTGGTGGTGCCTGACTTCACTGTTTCGGCATCTCTTGTTGCAGATCACAGGCTCTAGGTACCTGGGCTTCAGTAGTTGCCGCTGGCAGGCTCAGTAGTTGTGGCTCCCGGGCTGAGTTGCTCCGGCACGTGGGATCTTCCCAGTCAGAGATTGAACCCGCGTGCCCTCTGTTGGCAGGGGGATTGCTACCCCCTGGCACCTGGGGAAGTCTTCCAGGACTTCTTTACCGTGGCTTTCCCCCAGGGAGTCCTTAGCGATACTGTTCCCTTCCTCTCAATAATTTCCCTTCTCCTTTCTCCTGTATTAAAATCCTGGTTACTAGAAAGCTTATCTTTTATCTTATTTGCTTTTTTAAATTTTTATATCTATTTATTTATTGGCTGTGCTGTGTGGATGCCACAGGATCTTAGTTCCCCAACCAGGAATTGAACCCAGAGCACAACACTGAAAGTGCCAAGTCCTATCCCCAGGACCACCAGGGAATTCCCAGGAATATATCATTTTGTGATTTTTAAAGACATATGCCTTTTTATAGTACAATTTTTTTTAAAGTGGTAAAACCAACGTGTTATTAACAGACCCAAATAGCTTTAGTTTCTCTGTAATAAGAGGTGAAAAGCAGATAAACGTAAACATGTGTTTGGCAATTGATATTTCACTATTTTATTTGGAAATGAACTAGATATTCAAAAAGTATCATTTAAAGTTAATGTTACAAAAAGATTTTGGAAACTATTTTTAAGCAGACACTTTTTATTAATGATAACTGCAAAATTCATTTACAAACATTTTTCTCACTTATATCTGTTTAATTCATGTGTTATTAACAATTATGCTTGAGTTGCCATGAAAACTTAATGATATTAAAAATTAACCATCATTTTAAGTTATTTTTCTTGTTGACAAACTAGGCAAGTAGCAAAAATTACAGAAGTAAAGAACCTAATAATTTAAAGATGACTTGTTTTTCCCTACCATATTGACATACATTAAGGAAATAATTTCTATTGTAAATTTAGTTCTTAGGTTGAACTTATAATTTTATAATTTCAAGCATAAAGTAGAGACAACATAAACTTATTTGACTAGTCTTAGTTTACATAAGTGCTTGTATTGTCTTTAAGCCAATTAAATAGAGGTCTTTCACAAATTTTTACAAATACTATCCAGAGGGATAAAAATATCACACATACATAACATACGTACATAGATATACATGGATGTATAGATAGAGACAGATGCAAACAGTGATCTCATAGCTTTCATTTAAAAATTTTAGCCACATATCCAGTACAGTAGTACAAAACTTTCTAGCTTATAGAAGACCTAAATGGCATTTCTGGCAGATAGAACAAGTTAAATTTACCCATTTAGGTCAGTAAAGCCTTTTGCCAATAATTGTGGAAAAGACTATTAAGAATTTTACATGTCATTAATGAATAATCTTGTGGAGGCTATGGACAAAATTTGGGGCAAGGGAGCTTATGAAAATATCAAATGGTTTGTTTTTTTTAAAAAATATCTCTCATTTTTGTTTGTTTCTGGTCTTGTAATTGCTTTAGCCAACAATGATCTCTTTGGATGCTTACATTTCAAAGATACGGTAAGATCAATATTTCCAAGGGTCAGAGGAAGGACTGTAGGTTTTACATGAGATGGAACTCAAGGGTATATTTGCCTTTATCAGAAATCTAAGATCATTATTATTACATTTTTTCTTTTTTAACAGTAGGATAGGATAATTCAACAATTTTAATGTTTTTTGGTAGTGCAGGCCCGAAATATGGGATGTCTGGACCTGGTGGGGTCGACTTTACAAAGTAAAGGACAATAAATCAAACCTTCCTGTGCCTTTGTCAAAGCTATTTCCTGTCTGTCAGTATTTCTGTAAGTTTTATACCTGCTTGAGTGCCAACTGTAGCTCTTAACAGTTCCCTGATCTTCCCCTCCTAACCTGTTGAGAAAGTTTAAGAAGTGTTTTGTTTTTCTTTCACGCAGTCGCTCAGTCATGTTTGACTCTTTGCGATCCCGTGGACTGTAACCCACCAGGCTCCTCTTGTGTCCCTGGGATTTTCCAGGTATAAATACCAGAGTGAGTAGCCTTTTCCTTCTCTAGGGGATCTTCCTGACCCAGGGTCTCCCTCATTGGCAGGCAGATTTTTTACCTTTGAGCCACCACAGAAACCCTGTATCTTCTGTATCTGTCTTTTCTCTCTTTCTTTCCTTTTTTTTTTTCTCAATTTGATCTTCCCATTGGTACCTATAGGACACTTGTTTAAGATGAGAGCTGTCTTAAAAGTTCTTTTAGGTGTAAAAGTTCAAGTCTTCAATATACCTATTCCAATCATGAGTCTGAGCCAGTGAGTCTTTTCATGGCTTAAAACCAATACTAGGGCTTACAAGAGCTTAAAACCAATATTAGAGCTTATACCATTAGGACACAAGAGTGTCCATTAAGAACTGTAGGCCTCTCAAGATGCAGAGCCACTCCAGAGAAAGCCTAAGAAAACAAAGACCTTCCACGGCTCAGGTGACAAAGAAAGCTCTATCTCCCACAGAGTGAGACACCTTAAATAACTGAGCTCCTAACCTATGTTACCAGAAAGGTGATACTGGGAGGAGAATCTTTCCTTCACAAACCAGGCAGCAAAGGCAGAGGCCGTAAAGGCCTCTTATGACCTGAGACACTTCATTAAGACAAACTCCCCTGACAGCCAGCCTGGCTGGACAAAGAGAATATTGCCTGTCCCTTCAGGTCTCAGGCTCCTAGCTGGCTGGCTGGCTGACTCCTGATGCAAACCTGACCGGCAACCTGCACCACCCCACTCCCCCGCAAAGGGAACATTCTCACTGGTGACAAAGCCAAGTTCTCAGGATATAAAACAAAACAAATGGAGATTCTCACCTTATGGTTTTTCATTCTATGACAAATGATAAAGGAAAACATAACTCTTTCTGGGAGGCTAAGAATCAATAACCGTAGGTGCTGATTAGCAAAAACAAATTCACAAGAATCACAATTCAAGATCTACTTTCACAAATCTTTTTCTTCTGCCGCTGTGAATTTGGAAAGGAAGGGACGAGGAGAAAGTTTTATCCTCCTCTCTTGCTTGTGCACTACAGAGAAAGCTGGGAGACTGACATGGTAAGAATTCTTACCTTCTGCTGGTCTGCTGTCCATTATCCCATATTTCAACTGCAGTCTCCAGGGAGAATGGAGTGTTCTAGACTTTCACTATTCCACCCTCCTCACCAGAAACTGTACAGGGGGAGACATTTGTTTCCTTTTACTGTTTTAGGTTTCTGGCTGAGACTCTGTAACAAAAAGACAGCTTAACAATAGAAAAGGAAATGAGTATATTAACATGTACATCTCATATATACTTATAAGAAATGACAGTGATGAGTAACTGAAAGAGGTGTCTAGAATTTGGACTTACAGATCATCTTAACCAAAGAATAATATATTTTTAGGGGAACTACAAGACAGAGGAAGAGTACTGGGCTTCCAAGGGCAGCAAACAGTGGTACAATAAATACATCAGAAACTAATGGAAAATAGCTGGTCAGTATAGGTTGTTTTCCAGTATAGGTTGTTGTCCTTACTTGGGTCTAATATGTGTCTAGGGATGTTGATGATTAATTTCTGCACAAATTTATGTTCTGCTTTCAGGAAAATAGGGGGAGAACAAAGAACTTTTCTTGGATCTTCTTCTCCATTGCCTTCAGCTCAAAATTATTCTTGAGTCAAAGGGGAAGATTTTGGGGTGGCATATTCTGTTATTCTTCTGAAGATTTTGCTGTAAAATTCCTTTGCTTTACAATGACACTTTATGTTCTAACATGAAAACATGAAGTAAGGCTTTGTTAGAAAGGAGTTAGGAATGTTATTTGCATGAGGCTTACTTCTAATAGTGAAACATTGATTTATAAATTAAGAATTTACAATAGTAACCAAAAAGTTAGTAATGGAATCTGGCTGAATAACATAGTGTTGTGCTATATACCTATTGGAACAACAGGCAGTGCATCATGTTCTTTTGTGGAAAGTGTATATAAAATAATATTAATGGAAAAAGACGAAGGCAACATACAAAAGGCACATAAAGCAACTTAATGAAAAAAAGTTAGTGAAAGATTGGAACTCATTTTCAGTTGAGTCAAATGTTCATTCAGATTTTTTTTCTTTATACTTGCTCAAATTCATAATAAAATAGGAAGAAGTTTCTTTTTTGGCAGTAGTGCTAATCCCAATTAGTCCTGAGCAATGTCTTTAAACAATGTCATTTCACTATTTTATTGCAGATTAATTCTTAGATCGTCAGAATGTCCCTCTTCAAACATAAGAAAGAAAAGTTTGAAGTTAGTGAACCAATAAACATTTCCTGTTTTCCACATGTCTCAGAGAGTGGAGCTCCCAAACCAGTCACATGAGAAGGAAGTGAAAACATGTTAAAAATCAGGGCCAGCTCCCCTGGCTCAGCTGAAGGTCTGGCTTCTCAGTCGACATGAAGGCTCTCCTTCTTCTGGGGCTTCTTCTCCTTTCTGTTGCTGCCCAGGGCAAGGTCTTTGAGCGATGTGAGCTTGCCAGAACTCTGAAAAGACTTGGAATGGATGGCTTTAGAGGAGTCAGCCTGGCAAACTGTAAGTTAACTCTTTTTCATCCTTTCAAATAGTTAGCCAGGTGTGGAACAGATACTAACAGAGGATGGACAAAATGAAAGGGTCTTTGAACGTTTTTTTCTTTCCTGGAGGGTTTATACACTTCAGTTCAGTTCAGTTCAGTCGCTCAGCCATGTCCGACTCTTTATGACCCCATGAACTGCAGCACGCCAGGCCTCCCTGTCCATCACCAGCCCCCGGAGTCTACCCAAACCCATGTCCATTGAGTTGGTGATGCCATCCAACCATCTCATCCTCTCTCCTCCCCTTTTCCTTCATCCTCCCCTTCTTCTCCTGTCTTCAATCTTTCCCAGCATCAGGGTCTTTTCCAATAAGTCAGCTCTTCGCATCAGATGGCCTAAGTATTGGAGTTTCAGCTTCAACATCAGTCCTTCCAATGAACACCCAGGACTGATCTCCTTTAGGATGGACTGGTTGGATCTCCTTGCAGTCCACGGAACTCTCAAGAGTCTGCTCCAACACCACAGTTCAAAAGCTTATACAGCCCAAAAGCTTATACACTTACAATGGTTAAAAACATCAAGTTGTTCTTTTAGAATCAGATGTACCAGGTGAAGGATTGAGGCATGGTGGGTCAAATTCTGTATCATTCTAAGCATACCAGGTCCCCATGTACTCCTCTAGTGCTACTAAATTTGACAGCTGGCACATGTAGACTGACAATAAGATACATTTTAGCACCTGGGACTTGTCTGTCAAGCCCTTGTTGTTTGACTCTAGCCATTTCTAATTTGGATCTTGGGTTCTGAATAAGGCAGTATTTTTCTCATTTTTAATCCCCCTAACATGATGTTGCACTTTTAACAGCAAAGTTTTTTAAAAATTACCTTGAACTCTTAAAACAGGGACAGTGGAATTATTTTCCCTCAATCAATATCTATATAAGGATCCCTGAAATGCAGCATGAAATATCATTTTATTATTCTGACTCTAGTTCATTAATTATTTTTCATTTTCTTCCACAGAGTTTAAGATGTGCCCTAAGGAAAATTTCCTTTGTATTTTAGTCCATATTTGTCAATGTCATCACTGTAGTTTTCATGTTGAATTCAGATATTTCCCCTCCATAACTATTTTTGAATGAGCTAGTCAATGGCTAGATGGATGGATGGATGACCCAGCCTTTCCTATTCTATGATTCTTGCCTGGATTATAATTTGATACCCAAATTCACCTTTGGTATCATAAATTTTCTTTCTCCAAGAAAATCCTTATTTTTTGTAATAAAAAGCGTTTTTCCATTAGCATATGCATCTGCTGCTAATGACCAAATCCACTCAACAACTCTGTTGATTTTTCTGTTCTAGGCTCAATCCTACCTGGGTGTTAAGTAGTAAGGAAAGTGTAATAGCAATGGAAGACACAGCTATTTTAATATTTTTAAAGATATGTTATCTTTTTCATTTGTATTACCAAATCATTTGCTAATAAAAAAACTCTCTGAAGGGACCTTTAACACCAAAGTGTTAAAACACTTTACAAGTAAAATACATCTTTATAGAGTAAGTCATTAGTAAAATAAAACTAGTTAAGTAGAACTGATTATGCTATGAATTGTAAGTCATATGATTTGCTCTTTATTACTCAAAATATGTTTTTTTCAGGGATGTGTTTGGCCAGATGGGAAAGCAATTACAAAACACAAGCTACAAACTACAATAGTGGAGACAGAAGCACTGATTATGGGATATTTCAAATCAATAGCCATTGGTGGTGTAATGATGGCAAAACCCCAGGAGCAGTTAATGCCTGTCATATACCCTGCAGCGGTAAGACAAGAAAATGTGGAGTGATGGTACAGGACTCACCTGGTTATACCTATTGAGTTATCCAAAATGTTCGTTCAGGTTTTTCCGTAAACATCTTATGGGAAAATTGGAACAATCCTATAGGTCAAGATTCAATAGAAATAAAATCTTGAAGGATTCATCAGGGACCTATAAAAACTCCATCTTAACATCTAGAAACTCTATTATTCTCCTCCTAATTTCTTAAGTAAGAAATTAAAGAGCTGGTATCATAAAAGGTTGCTATTTGCTAACATCCAGGAGTTTCTGGAGTGACCTATCACTTCATCGTAACTGGACATGTTGATGCTTTGTAAAGAACAATGCCATTCCTACTGTTTTCCTTGTTTGGGGAGGATTAGCGGTAATTTTGTTGCATGGTCTTTTTTTTTTAATCTACCATCCTTTATTGGAAAACAAAAGAATTACTAGTTAATCAAAGTGGAGGAATATGTGTGGTTTTTTTAAAAAATTGTTTTTACTTTTTATTATAAAATATTTTAAATATACTGACAATTAGAAATGTTACTATAATAAGCATCAATATGCTCATCATGTACTTTAACAGTTGTTAACATTTTGGCATATTTACTTCTTTATATATTTATAAAATATCTTTATATATTTATAAAGATATAAAATATCTTTATCTAATATATATAATATATATATTATATATATATATATATATATACTTGTTTTTGCTGAGTGATTTTAAGGTGAATTAGAAACATTATGACATTTCATTTATAAATTCTTTAAAATGAGTCTTCAAAAACACATCTCCTATATAAAAATTGTCATTCTAACAAATTTACAGATTTGTTTAATTGGGGTGAAACAAGTATTCTATTGACTTCCTTTTAAAATAGAGAAAGCGTGTGGAATTTTTTTTTTAATTTTTAAAGAATTTATTTATTTTTTTATTGAAGGATAATTGCTTTACAGAATTTTGTTCTTTTCTGTCAAACCTCAGTGTGAATCAGCCATAGGTACACATATATCCCCTACCTTTTTTCTGAATCTCCTAAAGCATGTAGAATCTTTAGTGCCTGAAATATTGGAGAAATATAGCAGAATTGATACTGATAAATTTTTAAATATAAAAAATCCTAATAGAGAAGATGAGTCTAAGAATATACTTTTGTTCCCAGTTAATTTATTAAAAAAATTTTGTATTATAGAATAAACTGTTGTCATTGAATAAAAATTCTTACTACCCAGACATGTATGACCATTGGTAAATTTTGGTTTCCACATGTTCTTTTGGAATACGCAACAATCCCGGACATGACTGTAAAGCTATATTATACACATTTGTATCCACATACGAACATGTAAGCAATGTGGTTTTCAACAAAAGTGAAATTATATTATATTTACTGCTTTATAATTTTGTCTTTATTACACAAAATTATTTATTATTTTTGTCAACAAATACCAATCCTTATTGTTTTTTAAAGATGAATAGACTTTCACTATATAAATACTCTATAATGTATCAACCTAACTCTTACTGTTAAACATTTAGGCTGGTTCCATTTATGCCCTTTATTAATTGCTATGAAACACTTTGTATACATATCTTTCAGTACATCTCTTATTATTTCTTTAGGATCAATTTCCAGCATCGAATTGCTGAGCAAAAACCTGCTAGGCCAGTTTCTGCTTGTTTGTCTTTTTTTTTTCAATAGTGCCTAGTAAAAAGAAAACCTTCTATCATGCTAGTTAAGAATTCCAGAGCTTCCAAGGACTTTGGTAAATGAGAAACAGATGCCAAATGGGATGGAATGAAGAGTTTCCCCCAACACCAACAGATATACAGACTCTTGAACATTATTTCAGTTGTTCTTTCCTCAGCCTAAGAGAATAAAGCTGACTGAGCCTAAACTTAACATTTCTATGAATGTTATTTTCACTTCTCACCACCTCTTTTTCAGCGTTGCTGCAAGATGACATCACTCAAGCTGTAGCATGTGCAAAGAGGGTTGTCAGTGATCCACAAGGCATTAGAGCATGGTATGTTTTTATTCCCCCTTTCAGTTTTATTGAGATGTAATTGACATAAAGCACTATATAAGTTCAAGGTGTACAGCATAATGATTTGACTTACATCAGGAAACAGTATCACAAAAATTTTTTTCTTCTATTTCTTTAATTTAGTGAACATCCATTATCTTGCATGGATACAAAATTAAAGAAATAGAAGAAAAAAATTTTTGTGTCTGATGAAAATCCTTAGGATTTACTCTCTTTTTAACAATTTTCATATATAAACGATAGCAGTGCTAATTATATTTATCATGCTATATATTTGTTTTTGCTCTTTAGTCACGAAGTCATGTCTGACTTTTGTGATCAATAAACTGTAGCCTGCCAGGTTCCTCTGTCCATGGGATTATTTCAGGCAAGAATACTGGGGCAGCTTGCCCTTCCCTCCTCCAGGAGATCTTCCTAACCCAGGGACTGAACTTGTATCTCCTGCATTGCAGGCAAATTCTTTACTTCTGAGCCACCAGGGAAGCCCCATGCTGTTCCTTATATCCCTAGCATTTATTTATCTTATAGCTGGAAGTTTGCAGTACCTTTGCCTGCCTTCCTCCAATTCCCCTCCCCTCACTGTACCCAAATTCTCTTGTGGTCACCTCAAGAGGTAACCACAAATTTGGCCTCTTTTCCTTTCACTTTCTTGCTTTGTTTGTTTGTGTTTGAAATATAATGGATGTACAACACTATGTTAGTTCCCATTACAGAGCATGGTGTGTGTTAAGTATTAAAGGAGAGAGCTCTTTTATCCTATTGTTATGAAAGAAGTGAGAGAATATTTCCAAGGATCAAAGTATGGTACTGAGACCTGAAAATGGCAGCTTAAGATTCATGCTAAACGGTGTATAACGTAGAAACCATCTACTTTAACTGATTAAAAATCTTATTCTTTTACTCCTCAATTTATTTTTGGGAATTTCTAGATGTTTTAAGATTCTCCACCTTATACCAATTCCTTGTCATATCTTAACATTATTTTTGGAATTTATGGAACGCACTCTGCATTTGTGCTGTGAACTACACAGGACTCAACATTTGCAATCAGATGTTCTATGCCCTGGTGAAGGTTTGGGGATGTGAAGTCCTTGCTATATGTATCTCCAGTTAATAAACAGCAATACTTGGATCTGCCTGTAGCTTTTATTTCATGTATTGATAAACTGTGTTGTTTTCCCAAAGGATTTGAAGTATATGTAATACAATGAAGCTATGTTTCAACCTATTACCATTTGTTTCATCTTTCTCTCTACAGGGTGGCCTGGAGAAATCGATGTCAAAACCAAGATCTCACCAGTTACATTCAGGGTTGTGGAGTGTAACCTTGGAGTTTTCACTTCAGCCCATTTTGTCTCTTTTTCATATTAAGGAAGTAATAGTTGAGAGAAAGGTCATACTTTCAAACAAACAATGTTTTTTACAGAAGCAGGAGCATGTGGTCTTTCTTTTAAGATACTTAATGTTTACTTCATGTGTTTATTATTTGATGTTAGGCCCACAGTGTATTTCAGTTTGTTAATAGACCTAATGCTGGTGAATAGTTGTCTAAAATCTTAATTATCTAATATATATCCAGAACATTCAGTTCTTAGAGAAATAGCACAGACTGAATCTTGAATCCTACAAGTACTACCCAATATTCAACAAAAATATAGCAAAATAATATCTTTAAACAAATTGATCTTAGGCAAAATCCCACCCATGTAGTAGTCATGTAACACCTTAATCTGTTCAGTCATCTCCAAAAACAGTAAAAAATAACCACTTTTTTTGGGCAACATAAAAATGTTAAATAGAGCAGAATGCCAAATGACTAAAAATGAAGAAAGCCTGATTTAAGAATTTTGTTTTCATAAAGTGTGACCTTTGTTTTAAATGTTGTCTTGGAAATGTTGCATTTAAACAGCTTTAAAAATAAGCTCAGAATTTATATGTCAATCTCTTTTAGCCCTTTTAAAGAACTCAGTTGTGCATCTTGCTGTCATGAATGATATGAAGACAGCTTAGATGAGCTGTTGTTTTTTCTTAATGTTATAAGCTTAGTTTCATGCCTTATGACAAATTCAGAGGCAGAAGAGTTTGTAAGTATTGAAATCATTACTAGTTAATCCCAGGTGTGAAATCATGAATGCTGTAAAAAGTACATTTTCAATAAAAGCTTTGCAATTTATACTTTGTCTTTCTTTGTTAAGTCATTTAGTGTCTCTGAAAAAATACATACATCACATATATTTGAGAAAAAGATTATCTGACAGTTAGTATTTCCTACATCCTCACCTGTACCAAAACAGATAGATTTTTTCTTTCTGTTTGTATATTCTCTTTAATCATAGAATGCACATTCACATTAAGTAACTCATTTTTTCCTCAATGGATTTAATCATAAAGAGATAGCGTGTGTATCATCTTAAAAAGAAAGCTCTTACAAAAACCAAAAATAGCTAAATATTGCTGAAGAAAAATCCATAAGCATGCTGACAGATCTCTGTTTTTTTATTGTTTATTGCTACTAGGCTTGTGGGATCTTAGTTCTCTGACCAGGGATTGAACCTGGATCCTCCACAGTGAAAGCTTGGAGTCCTAACCACCAGATCTCCAGGGAATTTCCCTCACCTAATTCATAAACACAGATCTCAAATGGGCCGTCTAATCAGCCTGGTCATCTTAGTCACTTCTCTGAAATCCTTCTGTGTTGGTGTCCCAACTCCTCAAAATGACTGTCACTATTTTCTTCTTCTCCCATTTCAAAGTCCCGGCAGACATGCCAACCACTGGCCTTCACACTCTGCTCTTGGTAGACGACCCAGCTTCACATAGCTCTGACAGAACAGAAGCAACTCATATAAAATCCTCCCCTCCCGGCCACCATGACAGAGCTCACGGCTCTCCCTGGGCCCACCCTCCCTTCCTTCCCCTTTATCGCTGGGATGAAGGGCCTTGCTCCAGTGTCTCCACGTGCAGTCTTCATCACAGCCCTCTCACCACTCCAGTTTAGGCTGAGGGTTTCCTGGTCCTCCATTTCTCCCTCTTTGCTGTACAGACTGCCCTGGTAACCTTTTATCTTACAAATAATTCTCTGTGGACTCTGCATAACCCTCCAAGTGCAACATCATTCCAGATTCCCTTTTACAGCAGCTCTCTTCCTGATGGCTCAAGAACCCTGAAGCTTTTCCACAACAACTGTGGTTTGGGTGGTGGTTTAGTCGCTGAGTCGTATCTTACTCTTGCGACCCCATGGACTGTAGCCTGCCAGGCTCCTCTATCCATGGGATTCTCCAGGCAAGTATACTGGAGTGGGTGGCCATTTCCTTCTCCAGGGGATTTTCCCAACCCAGGAATCGAACCCAGGTCTCCTGCACTGCAGGCAGATTCTTTACTGACTGAGCTATAAGGGAAGCCCACAACAGCTGTACCATTTTATATTTCCATGAGCCATGCATGAAAATTTCTAGACATTTTGATTAAACTTGTTGTTTTTCTTTTTCTTATAATAGCCATCTTGTTGGGTTTATAGTATGACATTGTGAACTATGATTTTATTGATTTATTTTTTCCTTGAGTTCTATCTGTTTTTGCCTCTTGTAGCTTGACACTTGTTAGGCACATACGCATTAAGAATTGTTATGTCTTCTTGGAGAATTGACCCCTTTCTCATTATGTAATGAATGTACTTCTTTATCAACTGTGATTTTTTTTATGTCATAAAATGGGCTTTCATGTAGAAAAATACAGAATGCTTCACGAATTTGTTTGTCATCCTTGTGCAGGGACCATGCTCATCTTATCTGTATCATTCCAATGTTTGTATATTTACTGCCAAAGCAAGCCCCAACTGTGATTTTTAAAGCAACTCATCTTTAGCCAGTCTTTCTAAAGCATTTAACAAAAATTTCTTTGAACAAATTGTGTTTACACTCATGTTTTGTTGTTACATAATATTAAGCTATGAAATCACGGGAAAAATTACTATTGATGCAGTTTAGGAACACATGCACTGAGTCTCATGGAAAGTAATTAGTAATAGAAGTTCCTGGACATAAATGTGTGAATAAGTCAGTGTTATAGACAAACTGTGTAGCTAAGTTATTGTTATTGTTATTGTTTGGTGACTCAGTTGTGTCTGACTCTTTGCAACTGCATGAATGGCAGGTTATGTGGAGGGTATTTTAATTCAGTTCTTATCATTGGATATTCGGGCCATTTCACTAGATTTTTTATTTGTATAAAGGATACTATAATGAATATCTTTATAAGTAAATCTAAATGCACATCTTTTCCAAAAAGTAGTTTCTTGTGGTGCTTGATTTAATAAGTATGAGCAATTGAATTTTTGTTTGTTTTTTTCTTTTTCTTTTTTTCTTAATTTTATTTTTTTGTGGAGTTTTTTTATTTATCTGAACAATTGAATTTTTGACACATGAAGTTACTCTCTAACCTGCACCACAGCTGTATGTGAAAATGCATATTTCTTCACATCCTTTTCAGTAATAGGTGCTTTAAAATATATTGAGTTTTAGTGAGGAAAATTGGTATCTTTTTAAATATTTTGTGATTGTTTTTACGTTAACTTAGCTTTAAACTCAAACATTTAAAAATATTGTATTTAAAATTTTTTAAATGTTAGCGTGCTGCTACCTAGTGATAAATTTATGTAAGAAGTAAAAGAGTAAGTCATAATTTAGTAATTTCATCTTGTAATTGAGGAAACAATAAAGTGTATGCATTCAGACCCCAAGTAATATAGCCGATTAAGGGCAAACTCAAGAGCTGAAAAATCCAAGTCAGGCTCTCATCCAAGATCTGAAAGATTCTTTTCTTTTCCATTGTCCCTGTTAAGTCACAGCAGTACAGTCGAACCAGAAGATCAGGTGATGATAAGAATAATACTCTGATTATTTTCATGAAAGCTGTTAATAAAACCTTTCTCTCTTTATGCTGAAAATCTTTCTACATTTTCTCAGTGCACATAAAAACAGAAGGGAAGGAATTTTGTAGGAACATATTTTCTATTTATATATAGATTAATTAGGGAATATATTTAACATCTCTTTGAAGAGTATAGTATTCTAATATCACTATGAATAGAATTCTCAGGGTAGGTGTAAGATTGTGGGCTTAATTTTACTTAGCTATGTGATATCAGTTTTGTTTTTAACCCTAGGCAGAAAAAAAAAAAATGCCCCTTTCTGAATCTACGTATAGCCTGGAATACTAATCATGGCATTCAGAAAGGGGATATAAGCCAAGGAAAATTCTTTGTGCCCTTTGAGAGTCAGGAAATAAGATAATTCATACCCAATGAATACTCACAATGACTACAATGTGCAAAATTTCACGAGCACACAATGAAAGAAAACCATGTGTTGTCTTGGAAGAAAGCAGCTGAAGGGACTAGTACATGCTGGCCACCTTCCCGTGTGGTATTTTTAATGTAAGCATCAAACAAATTCCGTTGGAGTTCCTCATTTTACAGGTGAGGAAAGAAACTCAGGAAGATTCAGTAGCCAAGCAGTAATCCACTTAGGATCAGAAGAGCCAATCCAGAGAATGTGACAGTGGGACTTAGTGGTTATTACTTACAGAAGATGGGAGGCGGTGTGAAAGACTCTATAGCCAAAGTATTAGAATCAGCATCAATACAGAAAACCAGATATAAAGTAACTAGTATTAAATCTAATAAGAGATGTGCAAGCCCTTTTGGAGAAAGTTTTAAACTTTTAATGGAAGGCACTAATATTGGCCCAAAGTCAACAGACATATCAAGTTTATGAACAGGAAAGTTTAATGTAGTAAGTGTGACAATTCCCTCCAAAGTGACTTAGCATTAATTCAAAGCCTATTAAAATTCCAAGAGGTTTTTCAAATCTTACTGGATATGACAATCTAATTCTAAACTTTATATGGAATTAAAAGCAAAAGATAACCGAGAAAGAGACAGGGGAAGAGTTGCTCCATCACATATGAAGGCTTATTTTAAGATAGTGCAGACTTTCTACAGGAATAAACAACAGGCCTTGGAACAATATAGAGGTATCAGAAACCATACGTATATGAAAAGTAGAGTTTTAGGCTAAGATGGAAATTGCTATGAATTATACAGGAATAGAAAAATGAGATCTTTACCAAATACTACATATGAATATTAATTCTAGGTAGATTAAATGTGGACTTAATGGGAGAGGCAAAGCTAGACTATTAAGAAGGAAACAAAAATAATTTTATGAGAATAAAATTATTATTTATTTTATAAAAATTAATTCTCTTTTAGAGAAAGATTTCTTAAGATGTAAGTACAAATCATAAAGGAAAATACTGGTAAATG